CACTGGGTGTTATATGCAAACAATGAATCATGGAACACTACATCAAAAACTAATGATGTAATGTATGGTGATTAACATAACATAAAAAAAAAAAGGAGTTGGGAACCTCAAGTAAGATGCAAACTCCAGAGTACCTCCATGAATATGAAGGAGGAAAGAGGACTGCTTAGTTTCATTGCAGATAGCTACCAACTTGAAGATGTGCTACAAACAGTCTTTTTCTATTATAAGGTGATTTATGAATATCATTATATACCCAGCTTAGCACTTTTACTGCTTTTAGGTTAAGTGCCATAAACTCATGGGATCTGTAACCTCACTTGTAATAAAATTCAGGAAGATGAGAAAAACATGACTTCCAATCATTCAGCCCTCTAATATGAATTTATTTACAATCACTTTGACTCCTGAAACTAGCTAGTCCTAATCATAAGTGAGATAATTTAGCATAATCAAATTGTACCTTTTTACATCAGGGCTGATTAAGTGCCTGAGGCAGAGCAGGTACCAAATTAAATACTGTAGTAAATTCCAGTGACTTCATTTAGGGAGAAATGATTATCTCTAAAGCAAACCAAAATACTAGAAGAAAACACATAATGTTTTTGAAAGAGGTTTCTGAAGTTTGAAACAAACTAGAATTTTACTTGAAATAATGCTGAATAATTACTGAAAAGATTTCTGTATAAAAGCTTTCACTAAAAGCATTTTCAGAATAATTCTTCAAAAATATGATCCTAGAATCTAATTATCCCTTTCTGCAAACTTAAGAATGTATTTAGATGATTTAAGGCTACAATGTTAAAATCTAAATGACCCCAAATCCCAGAAATGGAGATGAAAGTACCGTATTAAGTCTAAACTGTTTGGGATGATCATTTTTCAAAGGTGTTTCCTGCCCAGTTTTAAATGCCAGGTGCCAAAAATGATAAGCAAACAGTTCTGTCAATAGACCACTTATGTTCCTTACTCTCTTCTTCTCAAAGTGACAAAGTGCCTTGATTCCAGCAGCGATTCCCCTGTCTGCTTTCGCCTTGGGTTTCCATTGTGACCATTAACTGCTGAAACTGAGCCCAGAGCCCTTGATCACAAGATCTGAACGTTGCAAGGGATCCTAAAGAGGTAAATTAACTCATCCCTGTGCCTCTAGGAAGGGAAAACTGTGCTCAAATACTTCCAGAGGAATAATTTTGCATCCTAATGAGAGTGAAGGACTAAGTAGTGGGAATTTCCTTCAGAAACTTGTTTGCGTACTTTTGGACTATTTCTATGCTAATGTCGTTGCAACAGCAAGTAAATGTTCTAAAGTGTGCAGGGGCGGTGCCTCCCCACACAGCCAGATTAGCACATGACTCGGCTTAGGCATCTAGCTGTTACAGATTCATTAATTTGCCTGAGAAAATTCCTTCAATGGATTAAACAACCCCTTGCAATATAACCATTTTTATACATCTTATTTTACATGACTAAATCTTTCTACTCTCAGTATTTTTCCATCTCTCCCCTCCCTTCAACTTCCCTCTCCATTCTTTCCTTCCACTTTTTTAAATGTGGTCCTCTTTCTCCCTGGCCTCCTCTCTACCCTCCACCCTGGGTGATGACACCACTAAGCTTGAAATTTTAGCTCATTACCTTGGCACCATCTTTTCCCTGACCTTTCTGTTGGATGCCAAATTCTATAATCAGTGCTTTAAAAATGACTCCTGAATCAGTCCCTCTTTTCCATTCTGTTGCTGCTGTCTCACTTCAGGCTCTTATTATATTTGGCTTGGATATAAATTAATTTCCTTACCCTTCTCCTTGCTTTGGTTTCCCTCCAGCTCCCAAGTATATCTTATGCACTGCTGTCAAAGTGGTCAGCATGAAGCACAGCTTGCACTTAATCCTGCATTGAAACCTTCACTGCTTCCACATTATCTGCCAAGGCATCCATACCCCTTGACCTGGCTCTTATACCCCTGTTCCCCCCCACTACCTGCCAACACTCAGCGTATGACCCAGTTGCAACCTAACTTTCAAGCGTTACCATTCACTTTTTCCCTTTCACATGGGTGACAGTCTTCCTGAACTATATAAAATTTCCTGAAAACACTTTAAACTTTCTTACATATTTTTTTCTAATTCCATGTGTTTGCATTCTTGTTTCCTCCATCTAAAATTTTATTCTTCCAATATTACCTATTGAAACCTGACTCCTCCTTCAATTCCTAACCAACCAACCAACCAACGAATTAACCAAACAGTAACAGCAGTCACACTTTATCATACTCTCCTAACTTGTCAGGACTATATTGAACATCCTGAATACATAGTCCCTGATCCCCACCCAAACACATACTAGGAAGATATTATTATAACCATTTCACAGGTAAAGAAACTGCCATACAGAAATGTTAGTGATTTTTATCCTAGGCTGCATAGTTAATGAGTGGGATGTTGGCGCATCCCGAGAGTTACCAACTTAATATTCTTTCTTCCTTTTTTTCTGTAGCAGAACCCTGATTTTTATTTTTTTGGAAGGGTTATTAACAGTGTGATCAGCTAAAACAAGAAGAAAGCAAAAAGTACATATCTCAATCTTCCTGATAACATGGAGCAAGCCTTTTTTTGTTTTTCTTTAGAGAGCGTGAGAGTGCACACGCGAGCCGGGGCCGGGGGCGGAGGGAGTGGGGCGGGACAGAGGCAGAGGGAGAGAGGCAATCCTGCGGAGCCCGATGTGGAGTTCAGTCTCCTGACCCTGAGATCAGAACCCTGAGATCATGACCTGAGCTGAAATCAAGAGTCAGATGCTTAAATGAATGAACAGCCCAGGTACCCTAAGGACTGAAGTCTTTCCACATACTTCTAGCCAAGGATACCTAAATGGTAGCCTGCTGGGGGTTTGGGCAACATTTTCTTGTCTCTTCCATGGCTCATTCTTTCTCCTTGTCCTTTAGAAAGCCGGCTGAGATGGAACACTGGAACACTAAGGAAGGCAGAGCAGAGAAATGAAAGAGCCTGGGATGTTGCCGGCTCTTTCCCTCTCCATTCTTTGCACTGACACCTGTCTGGAAATTGTTGTTGGGTAAAAAGATGAACGTTTAATTCAGTTAACTTATACATTGGGTTTTCGGTTGTTTCTACCTGAGCACAATCTCCCAACTGGTGCATGATGGAAGTGTGTTTCACACCTATATTGTGTCGCCTGGATTCTTCTTTGGATTACATCATCACCGGCCCTGTCATGATACACATTAAACCTTACCTCAATCCCCGGCTCAGAAATAAAATTTTCTTCCTTCTGTATGCCCGTTAAATTCTGAGCTACTTGTAGGCCTTTATTATTTCCTCTTTTATTTGGAATTTTTTTTTTTTTTTAGGATTTTATTTATTTGAGAGAGAGAGAATGAGAGACAGAGAGCACGAGAGGGAAGAGGGAAGAGGGCAGAGGGAGAAGCAGACCCCTTGCTGAGCAGGGAGCCCGATGCGGGACTCGATCCCGGGACTCCAGGATCATGACCTGAGCCGAAGGCAGTTGCTTAACCGACTGAGCCACCCAGGCGCCCTGGAATGTTTTTTTAAAGATTTTATTTATTTGACAGAGAGAGAGACACAGCGAGAGGGGGAACACAAACAGGGGGAGTGGGAGAGGGAGAAGCAGGCTTCCCGCGGAGCAGGGAGCCCGATACCGGGCTCGATGCGGGGCTCGATCCCAGGACCCTGGGACCATGACCTGAGCTGAAGGCAGACGCCCAACGACTGAGCCACCCAGGCGCCCCTTTATTTGGAATTTTTATTGTGGATTGTAAATTTCTCAAAAGCACAGTCTATAACTTCCTTCCTTATACATAGAAAAACACTGAACGAATGTTTACTGTGTTGGATTAAAATCCATAAAACTCACTGTATAGTTTTCTGTTGCCTGAGTTTCCTATGAATTAGTTTTAATCATCTTTAAATTTGATATAGACATAAATGCAATCCACACCACAACTCAAAGTTGGTTTGATTTGAGTTATTCTGATATCTGCAGAAACTTTGTTATATGAATACAAGACCTGATTATAGTCTGAGTATAGTGTATAGATTACATTTGGGATATGGCACATCACAATTGATTTCCAATAGCTGGTGAATTTTCTCAATGATACTCTTACATTGTCATTGTTGATTTTGTCAATTGCTGGTGACACTGGGATAGTGTCCATAACTTTCACAAATAACAATTTAAATTTTAAAATGTGGTGGTGAAGTCTTGATTTCAATTGGTTTAAAGAGCTAGGAAGTGAGTATAGATGAAATTTTAAGATATTTTGTGGAGAAGGAAATAATTAGGTGTCAGGAATGGGGTTGGAACTTGAGGGAGTGTTAGGGACCAGGTTTTATGTGAAATAAAGAAATATGAAGGGAGAGGAGGGCAGAAAGGAGGAGGAGTGAAATGAAAGGGAGAAAGGAGAAGAGGAGAAAGAGAAGGAAAGAAGCAGCAAGAGATAAAAAGAAAAAGAGCTTTCCAGTAGAAAATATGATTATGCTGGTTGGTTCATAATTTTGTAATACTTTTTGATAATTTATTGTCAACATCAAACTGAGATGACCTTTGATAATATATTCTTTTATTTATTTTTTTAATTTTAATTTTTTTTTAAGATTTTATTTATTTGAGCGAGAGAGACCAGCTAGGCAGAGAGGCAGAGGGAGAGGGAGAAGCAGACTCCTCACTGAGCAAGGAGCCCAATGTGGGGCTAGATCCCAGGATCCTGAGATCATGATCTGAGCTGAAGGCAGAAACTTAACAGACTGAGCCACCAAGCCCCCCCCCGCTTTTTTATTTAAATACAATTAGCCAACATATACTATATCATTAGTTTCAGATGTAGTGTTTAATAATTTATCAGTTTCATATAAACCCAGTGCTCATCACATCACGAGCCCTCTTAAAAAGCCCATCACCCAATTACCCCATCCTCCCACCCACCTCCCCTCCAGCAACCCTCAGTTTGTTTCCTATAGTTAAGTCTCTCATTGTTTTTCTCCCTCTCTGATGACTTCCCATTCTGTTTTCCCTCCCTTCCCCATGGTCCTCTGCCCTGTTTCTTATGTTCCACACATGAGTGAAACCTTATGATAATTGTCTTTCTCTGATTGACTTATTTTGCTCAGCATAATAACCTCCAGTTCTATCCACATCGATGTAAATAGTAAGTATTCATCCTTTCTGATGACTGAGTAATATTCCATTGTGTGTGTGTGTGTGTGTATATACATATATATATATCTTTATCTATTCATCTGTTGATGGACATCTCAGATGTATATACATATATATACATCTTTATCCATTCATCTGTTGATGGACATCTCAGCTCTTTGCACAGTTTGGCTATTGTGGACGTTGCTGCTATGAACATTGGGGTGCAGGTGCCCCTTTGGATCACTACATCTGTGTATCTTTGGGGTAAATACCTAGTAGTGAAATTGCTGGGTCGTAGGGTAGCTCTATTTTTAATTTCTTGAGGAACCTTCATACCGTTTTTCTGAGTGGCTGTACCAGCTTGCATTCCCAGCAACAATGTAAGAGTGTTCCCCTTTCTCCACATCCTCACTTTGATAACATATTCTGATTTTAAACTACTGTAGTAGAAAGTTGTAAAACATATTATTATTTTAAATCTTTTAAAAAATGGGACACTCCAAATTGTGCTCCATGGGACCGAGGCTAGTACAATAAGAAGTTGTCGAGCTCTTTGGCCTTGGAATTCAGTCATTAAGAGAGGAGCTGCCAACTCAGCTCTGCCTTACCAACAGGAGAGTGAGTTTGCTTCACTCTTCTCTGACCTCCAGCACAGAAGGCAGGCTGTCTGTAGCCTTTGTAAGATTAAGGAAGTTCTTCCCTTTGAGGGCAAGACCCCCATTTGCTATTTGACCTCTTCCTGGAATCCTAAGGTGATAGAATAGCCATTAACAAGAAAGCAAGTAATGAAGAGAAATTAAGGAATGCATTTTAATGAGGATTTTTATAGATGAATTCATAATGATTCTTGGTTGGCATATAGACTTTCTTGGTTCACTAAATGATCAATGCAATAAATTCTTTACATTCCCTCAAATTCTAGAATATTTTATATTTTTAGAAGTAAGTTCTTTCAACTTGAGTGATTCTCAAACATTTAATTTATATATATTTTTTGAGATCTTTGGAATATATCAATTACCATGAAGAATATAATTCATTTGTAAGATTAAACTGAAGTCGTGTGAACAACATCCTCGTATTATATGTGATGTAGAGTGTTCATGGATAAAAAGAGAAAGCTCAAGAATATGTCTTTGAAGAGAAATTATTTAGGAATTAAGGTAAAATATGAAGTTGGAAGTTTCCTTCTGTGTTTTCTTGTTCCGTGCTAGCAGAAAGCCCCTGGATTACAAAGACTACTTGTTCCTCTGTTGTAACTGCCACTGTGTCCTGCTAGTTTCATTCAGCAGAAGAGGGGGTTAAATGATTCTTGATTAATAGATCCTCATTTCTCTCCTTCCCACCTCTTTCAAGCTTTGGTATCATATAATTAATGTTAAATTTGTATCTATGCTATCTTAAATAGCTCAGATCTAACAAGCCATAATTTAGTTGGTTAAATGTAAATACTGCTTCTCCCTGGCACCCACCCCAAATATGACTGTAAAATGCACAGTAAATATAGGAGAGGTATATTAATAGTAATTAATGGGTATGTTTTTATTTGACACTTCTGTGTTTTTCTAAAAAAAGCAGCCATGTCTTTTTTTTTCCCAAAGATTTTATTTATTTATTTGACAGAGAGAGAGAGAGCACAAGCAGAGGGAGCAGCAGAGGGAGAGGGAGAAGCAGGCTCTCTGCTGAGTTGGGAGCCTGATGCAGAGCTCAATCCCAGGACCCTGGGATCATGACCTGAGCCAAAGGAAGATGCTTAACTGACTGAGCCACCCAGACATCCCAAAGATTTTATTTTTTAAGTAATTTCTACACCTGATGGGGGGCTTGAACTCACAACCCTGAGATTAAGAGTCTCATGCTCCACCGACTGAGCCAGCCAGGCACCCCAGCAGCCATATCTTTATAACAAAACTTTAAACATCATTTAAAATTATTTTGAAAGCTCATGGTAGATAAAGTATCTTCCCCAAATTTCCTGCCTCCAAAAGTTTATGTAATTCTGTGCGTAATGGGATTTGATATTTGCCAATGTGTTCTACTTAATCACCTCCATGAACATTCTATCATTCAGCATGTGGCTGGAAAAACAGAAGCCTCCCTCCATCTTTGAGATGGAGGGAATTAATACAGGGAATTGATCACCCAGGTGATGGAAAACAGAGAGGCTAAACAAGGGTCAGTTAAGGCAACCCAGAGAAGCTCTAATCACTCTTAGTCTGAAGGGACAACAGATGAATATGTGGTTATCAGAAACCAGAAGCTGGACTGAGGGTGGAGCTAGGACCATAATGAGCAGTGATTGCTGGGGACAAGGGCTGGGGGTGCTACCAGCAAGAGCTGGAGCCATGGAGGAGACATGGGCACTGTCATTCCTTAGGGCACAAGAAGAGAAGAAATATCCTCAATTCTCCCTGCAAGGAGAACTGTTAGTCTTTTGAAGACTTCTTCTGTGTTTTGATACTGAGGACAGGAATTAGCCATACCTAAACTGAATTTTGTTCAATAGTGACAGTCTGCAAGGTCAGAGTCAGTAAATATAAAGATTAGTTCATAAGAGATCAGATAATATTTATCAATGTGGTAAAGCAAGGTTGTCTTTTTATCCTTTTTTTACATTATAATGTAAAATGTAATGATTTTGTGCAAATTTTGAAAGACTTTTATCTATGCCCTCCCACTTGTCACTCTGTAGTATAGAGAATAGAAAATTAATAATAGCTGTATTTATTTATACTTTCTATGTGCAAAACTTTGTTCTAAGAGGTTTATGTATATTAATGCTCTTAATTCTCAAAACAATCTCATGAGGTAAGTAGTATGATTAACCCATTT